ACCTGCGGGGAGCTCTGCAAAAAACGCATCTTCGCACGGGCAGCCCGTGCGTTGGCCATTTTTTTTTCAGGCATCACCAGCCGAAGCAATGCAAATTGATGCATTATTCTACATTAGCAAAGAGACAGGCCTGATTGTTCCCGGAAAAGACAAAGTAACCTCATCCTCTCAATCTTTCACGCGAAATTTTTCGAGAAATATGAAGTGTTTTCTTCGCTTTCCATCTTATATGTAAAAAATGCTGCGGGTTCGTTAGGTCGTTGCATATATCGTGAGTACTCTGCGTACTGCCTAATGAACTTCTCAAAAATAGTTCACTTTGTAATTTTTCTCACTATTTCAGGGAAATAGTTTCTGAGAGATGATAATGGCGAATGAAGGAGAGAAAGGACGAATACCGTCATCGGAAGCTGCCGAGAAAGAGCGATTGCTGAAGCATGAAGAAGCCGCGAAGGCACTGGGAAAACCGAATCCTGATGATTTGAAAGTTAGTTTTTGTTTTGGTAAAAGGCTAAGGAGTAGCTGACACACTCTTTTAGCTAACTTTCTTTGGAAAACTTTCTTTATTCATAGGTTACTGATTTGAATATTTTTATTTACTGATTAACTGGTTGATAAAGACGCACGGATGTGAATTTCAAAAAATTTTTATGAAATACTCAAACGATTATTTAATGGTAATTTACTTACCGGTGCTCAAGAAGTCCTTTTTTACATATTAAAATCACATCTGAAATCCTTGGTGGTCCAGATTCATTCCAGCACACTTAGCAGTCACGATTCGTTCATTCGTTTCTACAGTAAATTGGCACTAGCATATGCCAAGGAGTTAAGTTTGCTTGTAAGCAAAGAGAGAGTCATCGACGGCCTTGCCAGCTGGTGGTTATTATTGGCATTTGTTACCACTCAGGATGCCTCTTGAGTGCTTTCACCACTGAGAGAGAAAAGGCGTGAGTCGGAGGGTTTTCTTACTTTTGACTATGACTTCTAGTATTTAAGAAATAAATGGCAAGCGCACCGACTGCCGGTGCGAAAATGCGTTTTTTGCATAATTCCCCGCAGTTTTTGTCGCTAACGGCACCGGTTTTTCCTGCAAGTGCTTCTGCTAAGATAATTGAGACCGGCCACCAGGACTGTCTGGAAACATCGTTTTAAAATTTCAGCTTTTTAGCTTTCCTGGTTTCCGAGTTAGCAACTTACCCGCAAAAAACTTGCGTAGGCCTGAACATAGGAACCACGCATACCCGTGGGCTGGGCGTGAACTTATTAAGACCTACGTGGACGTGGAACATTCCCTTGAAATTCCAGTCTTATAGCTTTTCAGGTTCCCGAGTTAGCATCTTACCTGAAAAAAATTTTGGCGGGCCCGTACGTAGGTATCACGCGGGTAAGAGCACCCATTTTGGAGATTGAGGCCCGTACACACATGTAGATTAAGTTCCCAAAGTTTCAGGCCTGTAGCTTTTGTGGGTCTCGAGATGAAAAATCAGTAAAATTCGCAGCGCACACACAGACAACTTCTCGTCAATATGCGTTTGCACTGACAGATGAAATAATTGACCAACGCACGGGCTGCCCTTGCGAAGATGCGTTTTTTGCATAGCTCCCCGCAGAATTTTATCGCTAACGGCACTGCTTTTTCCGGCAGATTTTTCTAGCTAAAATAATTTCAGACTGGTCAGGGCTGTCAGGAAACATCCCTTCAAAATTCCAGCCTTCTAGCTTCTCAGATCCCAGAGTTATCAACTTACCCGAAAAAACTTTCACGGGCCCGTACGTAGGTACCACGCATACTCGGAGGCTGGGTTTGTGCTCATTAATGTCCACTTGGATGAGGAACACCCCCTTAAAATTCTAGTCCTCTAGCTTCTCAGGTTTCCGAGTTAGCAACATACCCGAAAAAAATTTGGTGAGCCCGTACATGGGTACCACGCATACCCGATGTCTGGGTTTGAGCTCATTGAGACTTTCGTGGACAGAAAACATTCCCTTAAAATTACAGCCAACTTTTCAGTTTCCCAAGTTAGCGACTTACCCGAAAAAA